GTATTTCCTTAGGCTCATCATCTCGGAGGCGCTCTTGAAGAGTTTGGAGGGGTCATTGTCTTGGACTTCTGGAAAACAGGGAGGGAAAAGGATACAGATTATGATTCAGTCAGTCTATTCTCTGTATGATTTGTTTGTGTTTGCGTCGTCGTGCTCTGTTCTGGAGCAAGGGTTTTGTCTTGTAAACAAAAAAAGACGATTATTTGGTTTTGCAGTGATTAGAGTATAGTGTACTAGGAGAGGAGAGGAGAGGAGGAAGCAGAGGGCGAGCAGGAGAGTAATTGGTTAGAATCTGAAATGACAAGTGCTCTGCTCCCCCATCCTCTGCTTGTGCTCCTCCCAAAGGCCAAAGGAGGAGGAGGTGTTGCCAACCAACCCCAATCCCAAGCAAGCAAGATCAAGATCCCATCATCATCATCATCATCATTCTAAATTCTAATGCCTTGCATACTATACTATTACTAGGTGGGTATAGGTACATAATCTAACTTAGGTAAGGTATAAGGATCTGCTCACTCAGGTGGTGGGCATCATCCTTCCTTCCCTCCACCTGAGTCTACTGCATACGGCGCCGTGCAAATGAGAGGGAATTAATGGATCCAAGGAGAAGAGGGGATTTATAGGTTACCTTGGGAGGAGGAGCAGACGAGGATGGGTGAGTAGAAGAGGAGCAGCGGCAGCGCCAGCCGCCACGCCATCTCTTCTCCGTCTTTTCTTTCGAGGTCGCCGCCGTCCGCCTCTTCCTCCTTCCTTCCGTGCTTCCGTCCTTCCGTTCCGTTCCCTAGGCAGGGTAGATCTTAGCCCACCAGTCCCGTCCCGTCCCGTCCCGTCCCCTCCCGTTGGATTCGATTCGATTCCGTCAAGTCCAATCCAATGGAGGGGGAGGGAGGAAGGAAGGAAGGAAGAAGAAGACGAGACGAAGGAGGGAAGCCGGTGACGGGGAACACGTAGCCTGGCCAATGGCTCGCCGCCGCGTGGCCTCTCTTTGCTGCCTGCGTGTTACGCCCGGACCTCCCGTAACGCCCCCGGACACGGAAACTCAAGCAGTACGCCTCCTACCTAAGCTTTGCGTATGTGGATTCACACTACAACAACTAGAGACGTACCACTACTAACTTTTTTTTTACAGCAAATAGACCTTAGTTCTTATATGATGGCCATGTCGTTTTTTTTTTTGCGAGAAAACTTTCAATCTATTCATCTTCCATCACGGCTGTACAACGAACACTAGAAATAATAAAAATTACATCCAGATCCGTAGACCACCTAGCGACGACTACAATCACTGAAACGAGCCGAAGGCGCGCCGCCGTCATCACCCCTCCCTCGTCGGAGTCGGGCACAACTTGTTGTAGTAGACAGTCGGGAAGTCGTCGTGCTAAGGCCCCGTAGGACCAGCGCACCGGAACAGCAACCGCCGCTGATAAAGAATAACGTAGATCGAAAGGATCCAACCTGAAGACACACGAACATAGACGAACCACAACCAGATCCGAGCAAATCCACCGAGGATAGATCCGCCGGAGACACACCTCCACACGCCCACCAACGATGCTAGACGCACCACCGGAACGGGGACTAGACGCACCGCCGGAGATCCTTTATCACCTTACCTTTTCTTATTATGTGCAGAAGGTCTTACCGCTCTATTGACGCATGCGGAGGAGAATGATAATTTTTCTAGAATAGAAGTGTGTAGAGAGGCCCCCTCTATTACTAACCTTCTCTTTGCTGATGACTCATTGATCCTCATGAAGGCGAATCTTCGCAACACGGAGACTTTGAAATCTATTCTGGACTTGTACTGTGCTGCCTCGGAACAAATGGTGAGTGTTGATAAGTCTAGCATATTTTTCAGTCCAAATACGAGAGTGGACACCAGGGAGCAAATTTGCTCAATCTTGAACATCATGATCGAGGCGCTCAAAGACAAGTATCTGGGTTTGCCAGCAAATGTGGGCGTAGATAGGTCCGATTGTTTTCAGTATTTGATCGATCCCATTGTCATGAAAATTAGCGGGTGGAAGGATAAATTACTATCTACAGGAGGAAAGGAAATTCTAAGTCTGTTGTCCAATCCATCCCTACCTATGCGATCTCCATCTTCAAAATTCCTAAAAAAATTGTAAAGGAATAACTAACGCGTTGTCGCATTTTTGGTAGGGTGATGACGACAACCATGGGAGGATGCATTGGATGGCTTGGTAGAAAATGTGTGTCCCAAAAAACCAAGGTGGTATGGGATTTCGTGATATCCATTGTTTTAACCTGGCGTTGCTGGCTAAACATGCTTGGCGTCTTCTTGAGAACCCAGATTCTTTATGTGCCAGGATATTGAGAGCCAAATATTTTGCTGATGGAGATTTATTGAATGCAAAGCTTAAGAAGGGGTCTTCCTTCACATGGCAAAGTATTATGTCGGGAGTTAGTACTCTGAAGAATGGGTACATTTGGCGAGTTGGAAATGGTCAGTCCATTAATATTTGGGACGATGCTTGGATTCCTAATTGTGCTACCAGGAAAGTCATCACTCCAAAGAGGGGTCATTTGTTGTCAAAGGTGTCGGATCTTATTGACCCCACATCAAACAACTGGCATGAAGATCTCGTAAATCAAACTTTGTGGCCCATTGATGCTCATCGGATCCTCGCGATCCCTCTCCCATAATATGACATGACGGATTTTATTGCTTGGAATTACACTAAGAATGGAATCTTTCTGTTCACTCCGCATATGTCGTTGAGTGGAATCACCAATATGGAAGGAAACTTTGTCGATCCAACAGTTTGGGGCGAACAAATTTAAATCCAATTTGGCGTAAGATCTAGAAATTATCTTGTCCGACAAAGGTTAAAAATTTTATTTGGAGGGCGTTGCATGGCACTCTCCCATGCCGCGTTACACTAGCCAACAGACATATGAAAGTTTTGCCAATTTGTCCTTCGTGTTTGTCTGGGCAAGAAGATACAAAACATTTGTTGTTCCAGTGCCAGAAAGCTAAGGAGGTGTGGAGAAGACTTGGTTTGGACGGAGTTATTTCTAGTGCTTGTGAAGTTGATTATGCGGGTGAGGCTGTCCTGGAATTCTTATTACAATTGCCAAACCAAGATTTAGCTATTTTGGGAACCCAAAATACGCGTGAGATGATTGCCATCACGACGTGGTATTTATGGTGGGAAAGACGTAAACTTGTGCATAAGGAGAAAAATCAAGATGCTAAGCAGATATCTATGGGGATTCAAGCTCTTAGGGCCAATTATGTTATTGCTTCCTCTCCTAATGCTTCCATGAAGAGAGCGGGTTGGAGTCGGGCCCCCGTGGGCTTTGCGAAACTTAATGTTGATGCTTCGTTTGATCATGACCTTCTTAAGATAACGACCGGAGCGGTTCTCAGGGATGACAAAGGAAATTTTATTGCAGGGGTCTGCTCGAGAATTGACTGGTGTGCGGACGTTCTCACGGCGGAAGCTCTAGCGCTTAGGTTTGGGCTATCCCTGGCGCAAAGGGCGGGGTGTAATCGACTTGTCATCAATTCTGATAACTTGGAGGTCACTGAGACTATGAACAATGGATGACGGTCGGCGGGAGTGGCGGCGGCAATTTTTGATGATTGCTATTCTATTGCTTGTGATTTTTCTATGTCCAAGTTTGAACATTGTAATGGAGAGGCAAATAAAGTAACTCATGAACTTGCCAGGTTAGCTAGATTTTCTGGTACTGTTGATTGGTTTGAGGAGCCATTGATTGAAATTGTACCCTTTCTATTAAATGATGTATCCGTTATTTCGATTGAATAAAGTTATGATGTTTTCAAAAAAAGATGCCACCTCAACATGCTAAGATGCATGGAAAAAGATCCACCAAACCATTCAGCCATGCATGTCAAAACCATTACACTACATGTATTTCACAAATAAATAAATAAATAAATAAATATAATAAAATATCCTTCATGAAAATACTCCCGTCGTTCGGAAATACTTGTCGGAGAAATGGATAAAAATGGATGTATCCGAACTAAAATATGTCTAGATACATCCATATCTCCGACAAGTATTTCCGGACAGGGGGAGTATCATCTAGTTCGCTTTATGTCGTCGTTTGTTGTCTTCATGTTGAGATTCACATTGAGGTGGCAAAATATCGAGATTAAATTAAAAAACTAAGCCAACTCAAAGTATCTATAACCTCTCCCTTATAAACGTTTAGCTTATCAAAATTTTCTTTTTGTTAAGTTAATCTAGAACTAGGTCTTCTTCTAAAAGCCCCTCAAAATTTGAGGAGTTAGTTCTTAAATACATCTCAACCGGCTCAATTTTGAGGAGTGCCTTAAACTTAACTTTTCAAAACGCCGCGACTTCTTCAGCTACACTGACCCTCGGCCCATGTCTCTAACCATTCGTGGTCGCGCCGCCGCCAAGTTTTGCTGCCTCTCGAGCTCTGGTGGCTGGTGCGACCTCTAGCTGCCGACCCATGAGAAGTTTTCGATGAAACAACCAAAAAGTTTTTTATTTCCCTTTTCTTTATAATAATGTGGAAATGTATTTGAAATGGTTTTTGTAAATTAACTCCATATTTCTTTTGAAATTTTATTCTTTTAGATGTAAATTAACTTCCCGACTGTCTACTACAACAATGTTTGCCCGACTCTGACGAGGGAGGGGCGATGACGGCGACGCGCCTTCAGCTTGCTCCAGTGCTTGTAACCGTCGCTAGGTGGTCTACGGACCTGGATGTAAATTTTACTTCTAGTGTTTTTGGTACTACCTTGACGGTTGATGAATAGATAGAAAGTTTTCTGAAAAAAAAAAAGGAGTGAGGCACACTAGGCGACAAAAGAAGCTAAAAACAAAGAGCAAGGTTTGCTCTGCTCATCATCAGTTGGCCACTATAAACAAAAAGTAAAGCTTGTCCCTTTCGCTGCTCTGCTTTGCTCCGTCCGTCCGTCTAGATCCATCAAACTGGACCGCCTCCTCTTGATCCAGCAGAGCAGGGGATCCATGGAGCAGCTGGCAGACGGGTGCGAGCTGGAGGAGCTGGAGCTTCCCACTGTAGACCTCGAGGCGGAGGAGTCGAGGCTGACGGAGCAGCTGGCGGCGGCGTGCCGGGACCCGGGCGTGTTCCGGCTGGTCAACCACGGCGTCCCCTGCGAGCTCACAGCCCGCCTGTTCGGGCTGGCGCGCGGGCTGCTGGAGCTGGACGCGGCCAACAAGTCCCGGCTGCCCGGCTACTTCTGCGGCACGCCGGCGCTGGCGGCGCTCCCCGTCAAGGAGATCAACTGGCTCGAGGGTCTGCACGTGGAGGCGACCGCCGCCCACGGCGACCGTTCTCATTCTTCTCCAGATGGTGCTGACGGTGAAGCAGACGGCACTGCGTTCTCGAAGTTCAGGGAGGCGGTGAGCGGGGAGTACGTGGCGCACATGGCGCGCATCGCCCGGAAGCTGTTCGACGCCCTGGCGGCCGGCGAGCTGGGGCTCGACTCAGAGCAGCGGGCGTCGTACTTGACGGAGCGCGGCAGCATCTTCCGTGCGTACCGGTACCCGGCGTCAGGCGCGGGGCGGCGGCAGCTGGGGATGGAGGCGCACACGGACAGTTCGGTGCTGTCCATCCTGAACCAGGACATGGTGGGCGGTCTGCAGGTGTTCTATGGTGGTAGGTGGCTTGCGGTGCGTCCGGTGGAGGGCGCGGTGGTGGTGAACGTGGGGGACATGCTGCAGGCGATGAGCGGCGACGCGTACCGGAGCCCGGAGCACCGGGTGGTGGCGCCGGGCTGGACGGAGGCGGACAGGATGTCGCTGTGCTACTTCGCGTTCCCGGAGGAGGACGCCGTGATCGTCGGCCCGGCGTCAGCTTGTCGTCCGGAGGAGTTGTACCGGGCGTTCAGCTACGGCGAGTTCCGGGAGCAGGTGCAGGCGGACGTGAAGGCCACCGGGTCCAAGGTCGGCCTCGCCCGCTTCCGCCTGGCCGCCGTCACCCAATCATAGTCATAGTCATATTCATATTCATTGGACGGACGGCGCCTTGGAAGAAGCCTCATCGTGATCGATCCATGGATGGATGCGGACGGAGCAGACTAGAGCGTCTCATGTTTTTTTTTGAGGGAAACCTTCTTCTTCTCATTTTGTACTATATGTTTGTAGCGGGCCGAGAAAGCTTTTACTACTAATTAGTGGGCTGGGCCACCCACGCACGATGCTCTTTGTTTGGATCCAGATCAGAGTTCCGTCCGTCCGTACGCACGAGTCGGCCGAGTTGGCGCACGATCGGATCCACGGCGAGCGGAGCGGAGCGGAGAGGAACGATGGCCGGCGGCGGCGGCAGCAGTGAGGAGAGGCCGGTGGTCGGCCATCTTCCTCCTGGGTCTGGTGACGCTGGCGATGGTGGCCTTGACCATCCGCCTGCCGGGCCCTCAGGATCCGGTGTTGGACTTTTTTTTTTTTATCGTATCCGGTGTTGGAGTTGGCCATGAGGATCCAGTGCATCGCCGCAGCCTGCAGCTTCTTCATGCTCATTGGCCGCGCTACTCGTCACGGAGCGACCACCTTAATTCCCCTCCAAGTCCACGGACCCACCTTTCGCAGGCTTCTTCTTCTTCTTCTTCTTTGATTCATTTTCTTTCTTTTATTTATTTATAGATTGATTCTAGGGACCGACTAGCATCCCTTTTCGTGGTGAACTGGCCGTCCCCAAGTTGGATCGTGTCCAATATGATTCTAGGGAAGATAATACATATTTAAATGTATGTTCTCATGTTTTTATATATATATATATTTAAATGGCGTGCAAATCACGTACAATTTACTAGTAGTATAAAGAAATTGAATGAGATAGCTTTGAGAAATTGTCGATCCGGTCTATATCGGGTGACTCAATCCTAATTAAAGACCTTAATTGAATGTGAGCTCTTTAAAACTAGAAAGCTTAGTGTTATACACTCGTGACGGCACGATCTGATCAGATCCACAGCGAGCGGAGCGGACCGATGGCCAGCGGCGGTGGCAGCAGTCAGGAGAGCGGCGGCGGGCTTATGGAGCCAGACCACGACTGCAGACCGTGCAAGGTGATCCTTGCGGCCGTGACCATCTGGCTGCCGGGCCCTCACGCACCGCCACTGCCACGACCCATGCTGCTCTTGTTCGCCAGGATCCTCTGCGTCGTCGTCGCCCCCTGCGCCCTCTTCATCATCCTCGCCACACTCATCATCACGGAGCGACCACCTTCCCCTCCACGAACAGACGGACGGGCCAAAGTCGTCGTCGTCGTGGTGGATCCAGAGCCAGAGCCAGAGCGAGCGATGGCCGGCGGCAAAATCGACTGCGGCCGTGCATGGCGATCGTCTTCCTGGGTCTGGTGACGCTGTCGATCGTGGCCTTGTCCATCTCCCTGACAAGACAGATGTTGCTCTTGTCCAGAAGGATCCTGTGCGTCGGCGCCGCATGCAGCGTCTTGACGCTCGTGCTCGCACTAGTCGTCACAGACAGACCTTTACCATGCCTCTTCTTCTTCTTCTTCTTCTTCTTCTTTGATTTGATGATGACATATTTTGTTCTTCTTTCATTCCTACTATCCAAAATAACTATTTCTAAATTTCCGGCTAGCTAAATATCATCCCAGCCTAATTTTGAAATCATCAATGTAAATTAAAATTAATAACCATCATTTCAGTATATATAAGTCGAGGGAGTTTTATGTGGTATTTTTACAAAGCACAACAAGTCAATAACTGGAAAACACAATCATCCATTACTATATTATCATCATCGCGCTGCTACAAACGACCCAAAATACATACATAAACTCAATTAATGGTGCCAGAGGGTCACATTGTACTATCACATCTCCACTGGGAGGGTTCGTAGAGGCGAGACAGTGAACACACACCGTGCGGAGCATGCCGTACCCTTGGGCCATTCGGAACGCACCCCGGCCTCCAATAACGGGGAGCTCCCTGGTTGATCTCAGCGGGTTCCTCGAGAACAGTATGAACGAGCTACCGTTGAATGGCCCAGTTGTGATCTCGACGTCGATGGCCATCAAAATCGTGTACCCGTCTTTCGCTGTTCCGACGTACATGCCCTGTGCATTCCCAAGCACCTTAGACGTGATCGAGGGCCCCTCGGTGATCACGTCGTCAAACACGTAGACAGAGCTAAAGGCCACGATACCACGGGCATGGGCGATGGCATTGGTGTTTTGTGCGACGAGGACCGATAATGAATCCTTGTCGGCATGGATGTTGTGGAGGTAGAAGAGGATGTTGGTCTCCTTATCTCTTACAAACGGGGAAGCATTGCACTGGAGAAAGAGAACGAGGATGGTGAGGATCAAGAATGGAACTCTCATCTTGTCTTCTTGTGGCTTTTCAAAATTTGGCTGCGATTGAATGTGATTGGTGAGAAGAAGATTTGGTACGTGTATTTGTAGCTGATGAAGAGGAGGATATTGTTTGGTATTCTATACATGGAAATAAATAACGGCGTGCATTTATAGCTGGAGATGAGGATATATTTTAGTATTCTGTATATATACGGAAATAAATAATGGCGTGTATTTATAGCTGGAGAGGAGGATATCTTTTGGTATTCAATATACGGAAATAAATGACGACATGTATTTATGGCTGCAGAGGAGGATATCTTTGGATATCTTTGGATCATTTTTGCTTTAGGTTTAGAGCCCTAATAGCCTAGGTTTTTAGATCGTCCGACGTCTTGGCTTCGACGGCGGCGACGGCGATGCTGAATAAAGAAGCTCCAGGTTCTTCTCCGGCGAGGCGATCGTCTCTTTGCTCGGTGATGGATTTGGGAACCAGTCTGTTCAAGCGGGGATATCGTGGCGGCGACGGCATCCTTGTGGCGGACTTGTGTCCTCGGGCTCCGCCGTTGCGACGACGTCTGCTCCAGCGTCGGCGCGGAGCTTGGGAGGTAGATCGGGAGCAGATGCAGATTGTGATCTGCATCGACGACATCTGGAAGACAGAACATGTGCTGAGTTCGTGGTTGATGGATGGCAGGTATGGTTTCCTCCTCCAACATCTTAGTTGGGCGGGGGTGCCAGATCTGGAGTTTGATGGCGTGTCCGGGGTGTTGCCCCGGTCTGATTCGTTCAACGGCAATGGCTTCATCTTTGGTGAGCCACCTTGGAGGTCCGCAAAGCTGCATATCAGCGATGGAGCCGCGCCGAGCTCGGGTGAGGAGGTGATCCATCATTTTTTTTCTTTGGTGGCTCCTGTGATGGTGCCGGAGGCAAGTGACGGACGTTGGTGTCAAGCTTAGCAATGTTCTGCTATCTTTTCAGTTTTGTCATGTCGGTCTTTACGTGACTTGTAATTTGATCTTTATAATATGAATGAGACACGTATTACCATGCAAAAAAATATATGGAAATTAGTTTTTTCTAAGCAAAAATAATGGAAATTAGTTTTTTTAGGCTAGGATACGGAAATTAGTACAAGCACGCCGGGGTTAGTCGTCGGATGTGGCTCGACCACGGGCCGAATCCCTTTCTTATCTATCATGTTTGGCATGGGCCTGACAGGCCATACGTACTGACTGCAGTCCAGTCCAGCCCAGTTGACAAACGCGTCGACGATGGAGAGAGTTTTTTTTTTTGCATGGTAATACGTGTCTCATTTACTCCCTCCATTTCTAAATAATTGTTTTTCTAGAGATTCCAACAAATGACTACATACGAAGCAAAATGAGTGAATCTACATTCTAAAACATGTCTACATACATCCGTATGTTGTAGTCCATTTGAGATGGCTAGAAAGACAATTATTTAGGAACGGAGGGAGTATATCATAAGGATCATAGTACAAGCCACATACATATCGACATAACAAAATTGAAAAGACAACAAAACGCTAGCCTTTGCACACAGGAACAAAAGTAAAATTACAAACAAGACTGAAGAATCCTCTGAGCTTGACACCAACGCTCGTCACCTGCCTCTGGCACCGCCATAGCAGCCACCAAAGAAGAACATGACGGATCACCTCCACACCCGAGCTCGACGCGGCTCCATCGCTGATAGCAGCTTTGCGGACCTCCAAGGTGGCTCGCCAATAAAGGCGAAGCCATTGCCGTTGAACGAATCAGACCGGGGCAACACCCCGGACACGCCATCAAACTCCAGATCTGGCACCCCCGCCCAACTAAGATGTTGGAGGAGGAAACCATACCTGCCTGCCACGAACCACGAACCCAGATCCACCATCTTCCAGACCGCTCCTGGACTATCTCCCAAGCTCCACGCCGGCGCTGGAGCAAACGCCGTCGCAACGGCGAAGCCCAAGGACACAGGTCCACCACGAGGATGCCACCGCTGTTGCACCATCCTTACTTGAACAGTCTGGTTTCCAAATCCACCCTAAAAAGCGGATCGCCTCGTTGGGGAAATATCTGAAGATTTATTAGTCGGCGCCGCCATCTCCACTGCCGAAGCCATGACGATGAACAACCCAAAATCTTAAGAAAATAATGCCTAAAACAATCCACATGCGTGGATCCGGCGACCCCCCTCACCACCGACGACTGAGGTCGTCAGCGGAGGGGAGCCGCCGGAGAACGGCCGCGGAGGAAGACGCCCTGACGGCACGAGATCGCCTTTCTTTTCTTCTCCTGGATACGTGTGTCCTTGATGATGGAGAGAGTCACCGACTGGTCGATCATGACATCAATACGGCGATACGGATACGGGATACGACAATTACTAAAAATAGCAACACAACAATACGGCCATTAGGAAGAGAATGAATTGAATGCCTGAGATGAGATAAAAAGAAACAAAATACTGGTCATTTGTTGCATCCATGCCTATTTCTCGATGACTGAATGATCATCACTTTACTCAATCCTCGCGCTCCTGGATGACTTTACTCAGTAGTGGCCAACAGTCAGCAAGCACGCACACATAAACAACAGCTAGCCACGCACGCATGGCGGAAACAAGCACACACAGCCAGCGGCGCCGTCCCGGCGGCCGTATCGGCATTTTTCTTCTTCTTTATTTTTAAATCGAAAAACAGGATACTCCATGGATATGTGTATTAACATATCGGCGTATCGGCAACATATTATACGTGGACACGCCTGCTTTCTCGACATATCGGTGCTATGTACCTTGCAGTATTAAATGTTGTAGGCTTGTAGCTTAATTTGTACCAAAAAAAAGTTGATGATGAACATGTTCAGTTATTATACACGTTCTCTTGGATTCTTGTGCAAGAAAGAAGAAGACTCGCGCGCACAACACATAGGAAGAAGAAGAAGAAGAACACATGCATAGCTTACAATTTTGTACTGTATGTGTTTGGTCATGTTCTACAAATGAAATCAAACTTTTCTTCATTCATTCAATCAAAAAACCCAGCACAAAGAACAGATTGATTATGGAAGAGAAAACATGATGTTAGGTGGAGAGCTGGGCCGGCTCAACTAACTACTTGCTGGTCCCACGGGGCCTAATCGGATTCCATCACGTACCTATCTCCCACTCTCCGTGCTACTATAAATATATCGAACGCTTCTTCTAGATCGAATCGAACACCACAAACAAACTTGTGCAGCAAAAAGCAAAGCGACCATGGCACAGACGATGGAGACGCCGTCGTCCACGGAGGACCTCCACGATCATGGCACAGACGACCATGACCATGGCACAGACGATCATGACCATGGCACAGACGATGGATGCCGAGTGCTCCACGATCAAGCAGCACTGCAATGGCCTCCTCCTGCTCAACAACGAATGGCCGCGTCGCCGAGGGCCTATCGAGCACAAGGCGTGGGTGGTTAACCACGCGACGCGATGGTGGACGCGCCTGCCCCCTCCCCCGTCCATGTGCACACCGGGCATGGAGGACGTCTACACTGATGAAAAATTCATGCACTGCCATGACCAGCACCTCGCGTTCGATCCTGCCGTGTCACCACACTACGAGGTCTTTCTAGTTAAGCACCTTCCATTTCTGTGGCCTGATTACATGGACGATCACGTAATAGATAGACAGTGTCCGCCGTCGACATTTGTCTTGCTTGTCTTTTCATCGATGACAAAGTGGTGGGAGGAGAGGCCTTTTATTCGCCAAGGGGAGGCCGCGGGGACCGTTGGCGATATGTTAGACATTTTGCCGTCCTCGCAATGTTATGGTGCGTACTGGCGGGGGACACTCTATGTTCATCAGCATAATTTCATCCTGAGGTACATGACTACTCCCATTTTATACACCGCCTTCTTATTTCGGTTACCTTTCTTGTTTGTTTGTCTAGCTTTGATCAGTGGTTGGTTTATCTTTCACAGAATAAACATGTCAAATGACACGTATCAAGTAATTAATCTGCCGAAAGGTTTTCGCAAAAGGTATAGTGAAGACCATCATTTAGGAAAATCAGAGAATGGCCTATATTGTGCGCTACTTAGTGGTCATGATGGCCTTGGACTTCAGATCTGGCACCTCGACGATGTGCGTGATGAGATAAACTGGAGGTTGAAGCGTGACATCAACCTTGGCCCTCTTGTAGCGGATTTCTCTCGCGAACATCATCATAACATTATTCAGTCGGAACAGAGATGTACCCTAGTTGGGTTTCATCCTAATCAAGAGACTGTCTTGTTACACACACCACTTGAAAGAGTCATGTCGTATCGTTTCGATAGCTCCGAGATGGAAGATTTGGGGTGCTTACCCGTGGAACCTCAAGACGGCATATATTATTCGTTCCCATACACGTCATGTCCGATGGGGGAGTTTTTGAGCAAGGAGTAGTAGCTCAAGTAGAATGGATGTTGGATTAGCGGCATGTGTTAGGGATTAGCGCATGTTCTTGAGGCACAAGTATTTGTATAGGGAAATGATGATGATCTTATAAAATGAATTTATTTTCTTTTCATTATTTATTTACACTAGTATAATATATGGTGTATGCATTTGACAAGGAAACAAAGCCATTGATTGATGGTACATTTGGGAGACAGAGAAACTCTGTGGTGCATTGATTACGATTTTGTACTTGTGGGCCTCGGCCAAGTGAGGCACCTATTAGGCTAGCCATAGTGGGGTAACATAAGTAGTATCATGCGCTTGGACTCGCAAACATGCTTATGTGGCAGACAATTAAAGAAGAGAGAGATGATTATAGTAACATAGGTAGATACCGTAACATAATAAATGTGATGCTACTATGTGTCATGCATAGCAATAAATGAGATCACCTATGATACTAACCTATGATACTATGCACTATAGAGGTAGTAACATAGACTAGTAATGTATGCATGTTACTAGTCTAAGTTACCTCCCACTATGACCAGCCTTAGTACGGATCTTGGTGCACACCGGAAGACTGGGAAATGAAGGATGGAAAATGTTGATGCTTATGTGGTGAAAATAGGAATAATTCTGAAAGATAAATTTGGATTGGAATATACTGCTACAGACAGAGCAGCCTATCACTGACGGATGAAAACAAACAAATAAACAAGGTGCAGCTGCCTTGCACTTGAAGCTTTGATTTTCTTTTTCTTTCACTACATACATACATACATACATACATACATACATATAGATAGATAGATACAATAGTCAGAGTTGTTGAACAAGCAAGCAAGGTATGAAGATGGATGGATTTCATACAGTACTAGGGGAGTATCTATCTATCTATCTGAATCTGAAATCAAACATCCATACTGTTAAAATATATTACCCGTTTCTCTCCATCAGTTTGGATTTTTTTGGAGCAATTGGCTGGAGCATGATTTCAATACATACTCCCTCCGGTCCTTTTTACTCTGCACATTGGATTTGCCGAAAGTCAAACTTAGCTAAGTTTGACCAAATTTATATTAGAAATTATTAGCATCTATAATATCTAATAAATATAATATGAAAATATATTCCGAGATGAATCTAATGATGTTGGTGTTGTTATGTAAATGTCAATAATTTTTTATATAAACTTGGTCAAAGTTGAATGAGATTGATTTCAGACAAACCTAATATGCAGAGTAAAAAGGACCGGAGGGAGTACATATGCGAGAGAAAGAAAAGTCAATCATGTGAAGGAAGGAAGGAAGGTGCCTGAGTTTTCTAGATGGTCCAACTCTCTCAAGGGACGAATGGACCTTTCTTTTTCTTTTGTTTCCCGTTCATTGTGTGTGACCTTAGCAGGCACTTGACGAAGACAACTTGGTACTTTTCTTTCTTTCTTGTTCCTTGCATGCCTTGTACAACTCAGAGACAGAGAGCACAATAATATTGAAATGAAAATAGGACACTAGAATTTACTAATACTCTAGAAGAGAAGAGAAGAGAAGAGAAGAGAAGAGAAGAAGATCCAGTCTTGTGTTGTGCGTGCGTGCTTGGTGGCCAAATCAACGAAATATCTGCCGGCCCAACCTTTGTTTCTTCTTCTTGTTGTTGTTTCATTCATCGGTTGCTTCTATTGAGCTGCTGCTGCTTTACTTTCTTCAGCAGCTCATTCCTTGTTTCTCCTCAAAAGAAAAAGAAAAATCAAATCTCTCCATCCCTTAATCCTATCGAGCAAGAATTCAACTCCATCCATTCTCCTCCTCCTCCTCACTTGTCATCTCAAAGAGGATCTCTCTCTCCCTCTCTCTCTATCTCTCTCTATCAAAAGAGGAGAGGGCAATCCAACCATCTGTCCGTCTCTCTGACTATGAGTTAGCTGCCGCACGCACGCACGCACGCACGATTAGTAGTAACAAGGTATGTACGTACTATCGTCTAAATCATTAATTTGATTCATATCTGCTGCCTTTAATTTCTTCTAGCTTCCTTTGGAAACTTGCTACAGTAGTACTAGTATGTACTCATTGATTTATGGTCTAACAGTATATATATGAATCATTTCATTTGCCCCACTACTTAATATCGATCCATCCATCATATGCAATTCATTCTAAACAAGGGGCCTTTCCTTCCTTTCTTTTTCTAACAATATATATAAGCTACAACTAGGCTATCTGCAACAGACTTTAAAACTCAAGTAGCTACCTTGCAAAACAAGACTTGCTAGTGTGCCGGCACCCAATTTTGCTTCAGACTCAACTTCTCTTGGACTACTATCATCTTTTTGGCTCAGTTTTGTTTCATAACCTTTTTTTTTTCCAGCAAATCTAACCAAATGGGAGCTACAAGTGGATTATTATCATCTTTTTGGCTCTGTCCAGTCCTCCTTATGTGAACATCTAGCTCTTCAAAAAAGAAGCAACATTATATTATACTTACCTGGTAGTTCAATCAAAGGGGGAAAGAAGTTGGCTTCGATCGGTTGCGATACTGCTATTTCAGAGTATATATATCCATCCTCCAAGCCTGTCCGTCCGTCGAAACATGGTTGCAGGTGGTGCCACTCACAAGAGACCTCCTGCTGATGACATAATGATGCACCAAGAGGAGCCTGCAAACACGGATGCAAAAAATGATCATCACATTGCCATCTATTTCATCGACTCACCCCAACAAACAGACGACAGATTGATCCTGAGCGACAAGACCAATGGCCAGGAGGATTACTCATTTCAGCACCACCTGCAAACACCAAGCTCGCCGCCCTGCTACTCCACCGACCACATGCTCCGCGCTGACCAAAGACACTACAACAGCAACAATGGCTCCCCTTCTTCTTCCCAGCAGCAGCAGCAGCATGAGCGCTCTTCTTCCCAGCAGCAGCAGCAGCATGAGCGCTCTTCTAACCCACCAAGAAGAAGACAGTCGAGAAGGCGACGCTTGGCGGCGGCGGTGCCGTTCGTGAGGAAGATCAAGTGGGGACCATTGTGGGATAAGTCCAAGGAGTGGATCAAGAACCCCATGAACATGGCCCTCTTCGTGTGGATCGTCGCCGTGGGCATCTCCGGCGCCATCCTCTTCATGGTCATGACCGGGATGCTCAACGCCGTGCTGCGGACCAAGTCGCAGAAGGACACGTGGTTCGAGGTCAACAACCAGATACTGAACGCATTGTTTACCTTGATGTGCCTGTACAACCACCCCAGGAGGTTCTACCACCTGGCGCTGCTGTGCCGGTGGAGGGCCGGCGACATGGCCGCGCTCCGGGAGGTCTACTGCAAGGGCGGCATCGTCAAGCCCAACGAGAGGAGGCACATGATGGTTGTGGTCTTGCTGCTCCACCTCAACTGCTTGGCGCAGTACGCGCTGTGCGGCCTCAACCTCGGCCTCTCCAGGAACCGGCGGCCTCCCGTGGGGGTCGGCCTCACCGTGACGGTTGCGATATGCGCCCCGGCCGTTGCCAGCATGTACAACAACCTCAGCCCCCTGGGGAAAGACTACGAGGTCCAGGCCGCCGACGACGAGGAGCAGGAGTCTTCTTCTTCGGGCTCGCGGCAGCGGCTCCAGCACAAGACCGTCGAGAGGAGGTACTCCTTCTCCCCTTCTCCGCCGCAGCGACAAGGACTAGAAATGGGCGCTGCCGGTGCCGTCGTCGTTGAGGTGGGAGAAGAAGAAGAAGGCACCGTGGCAGTGGCGGCGCCTGAGTGGTCGGGCGGGCTGGTGTGGGACCTGTGGGAGGACATCTCGCTGGCGTACCTGTCGCTGTTCTGCAGCTGCTGCGTGTTCGGGTGGAACGCCGGGCGTCTGGGGTTCGGCAATGCGTACGTGCACGCGGCGACTTTCATCCTGCTGTGCCTGGCGCCCTTCTTCATCTTCACCCTGGCGGCCATCAACATCGACGACGAGGCGGCCAGGCTCGCGCTCAGCCTCGGCGGCACCCTGCTGTGCGTCTTAGGGCTGCTGTACGGTGGGTTCTGGAGGATCCAGATGCGCCGCAGGTTCGGGCTTCCCGGCAGCGGGTTTTGCTGTGGCAGGCCGGACGTGACGGACTGCTTCCAGTGGCTGTGCTGCTGCCCCTGCGCCCTCGCCCAGGAGGTCAGGACCGCCGACGCCTACGACATTGTGCACCACAGGATGGTGTCTCGCCGTCAAAGCCAAAGCCGCCGCGGAGATGACGCCGGCGAAGAAGAAGCCAGCAGCTCCCGGGTGCAGATGCAGCAGCCACTGAGGTTTGCAGGTGTTTTCGCTTCAGATCATGGTGGGGTGACCAACACCAACAGCAATTCAGATACCAGTAACACGAGTACAACACCCCCTGCGCTGCCTGTTGGCATACAGAGACAGTAAGTAAGAATAAGATGTATGCATGGTTAGATGAGTAGCTAGGCTTAGCTACTGTAGATGTTTTTCACAGCAAGCAATCCATTGTAAGTACATAGCAGAAGGAGGATACAAGGCAACTATGCTAGACATAGCAGAGTATATATACCCTGTCATATATAGTATTCTGTCTTTTCCCTGCTGAATTTTGAGAAATGATGAGAATTTACTTCTTCTTAGAGCATCTCCAACAGCCGCGCTATAGCGCCGCGCGCAAAAAACCTTTTAGCGCGCGCGCTGCGGCTGGTTTTGCGCGCCCGCCTGCGCTGGCTCCAGCAGCCGCGCTGAAATGCAGCGCGCGCGACTCGCCGGGCATTTTGCATATATGGATATTTTGGACAAAAATAAACATGTTGTCAGCACACATGGAAATGAAGTTTGTTAGCAGAGCATCAGAAAAGGCCATTTTGCTAGGCAAACCTGAAGATACCAGGGCAGACAGAGTTTTGTTAGTAAAAAATAATTACCTAGGTAAGGTAAGGTAAAAAAAAATAGCGCCCACCGTGGGGCTCAAACCCACGACCACAAGGTTAAGAGCCTTGCGCTCTACCAACTGAGCTAGACGGGCTTGCTGTTTGAGTCAGTGGTTCCACTAGCCCTAGACCAATTTTCTCTTTGAACTCCCAGAGACCAAAAGAAGAAGAGAGAACCTGCAGAAAATGAGGACAAAAAAAAAACAGAGATTATGATGGATCAGCAGCACAGTGCTTGAAAGAAATGAAATGAAATGAAAGCCATGATGGCATCTTTAGAATATGTAATTAATCAACATGTAGTATGAGAAGGCTCTGTCATGTCACCGAAAGGATTCAAATCAAAGAAGAAAGACAAGTGATGCTCAGACTCAGCCAGGACCATGGCTGGACTGGTTATCCCCGACAAATAAAACCTCAAGCATTTTATACATGATAGTGATCAGATTTTCTACTAGCTTGTTCCTGTTTGTTGCGCCTCAAGTGGACACCTTGCATTCATAGTTAGGGCTGATCAAGTTGCTGAAACATTCGATAAGATAAGACTGAAACAAGGGAGGCACATGCCTGACAGGACAAACAACGACTAAATATAGTTTTTAGGAGCAGTCTAGTTTAGTAGCTACAGAATTGAAGTTGTAACCTGAAAGATGATCACATACGTATAGTACCATTTGGCATATACGTACTAGTCATACACCAGCATCTGCAATACATGCATGGTTCACAGTATGAGTTTGTATCATCATAATAATAACGATGGACCAAACATATATAAAGTAGCACCGGCTAGGCATAAACAACAACAATTGAGCTTCTGCCATTATATAATTAAGACTGCACACTAGGTGAGCTCTCTCAAAAAAAAATGTCAATACACGGAAAATGAGGTTAGGATATCTACGAACAAGGAATAACTTACTTCTGCCATTATTGTTTACGCACATAATAATAACTTATTTGAGGGAGTAGCAAACAATAAACGATGGGTTGAATTACTCAAATAGAAATAGTGTTAGAATAAAACGCTAATGCAAGATCATAGACGACACACCGAGGCACAATATTTGTTAACGAGGTTCACCGATATGGCTACATCCCCGGGGCATGACTACGGGCGCTCCTCCCAAAGATACCGCAACACCGGCCGCCGGCTCCCCCGCGTACCTGTTGCTATCAAATCGTCATGGGTTACAACGTGTGGTGCTCCTCCGTATATAAGAAGCTTATGATACAAGTGTCCGACTCCTACACAACTCGTACCTAACCACACCAATTACAACTCCAAGTCCACGTAACCCCTTGCGTACATAGTATATTCGACACAAATATAACAAACTCCACCTTGGCAAATATTCTCCACCACCTAGAAGTCGTCCATGCTCGAACCTCCATGTACTCCGGACTTGGGTTGTCTTCTTTGTAGCTTACTGAGAGCTACCCAACGGGCCAGACCCGCCGCCACCGTGAGACTCCACTGCTACTCCTGCAGCTCCGCTCTCCATGGCTCCACCTGCAATAGTGCTCCCTTGCAACTTGTAAAGATGCGAAGCCGTCCTCTCTCCTATCATCACGGTCGCCCCACCTTCCATGATTTTCATGGTCTTCGTATCCCGATCACAACGGAATTCCATACCACCATCATGAAGAACACCAAGTGAAATTAAATTCCTCCTTAGCCCTGGCACATGCCTGACTCCCCGAAGCATCCGCTCAACTCCGTCAAACATCTTGATTTTGATGTCACCTACTCCAGCAACACGATAACCTGTGTCATCGCCCACATAGGCTAAACCAAACTCACCAGACTTGTACGAAGAGAACCACTCCCTGTTGGGCGTCGCATGAAAAGAGCAAGCTGAATCCAACATCCACGCTTCAGTTTTTGTTGACCGCATGTTTGATACTACGAGAACATCACTACTGCTGTCTGAGTCATCACCATGAGTAGCCGCATTAGCACTTGCCCCACCCATCAGTTCTGGGCATTCCCTCTTTATATGTCCCCAATCCTTGCACCTGTAGCACTGCACCTTTTTCTTCTTTTTCTTCTCCGCCTCTTGTCCCTTCCTGAGCTGATAACCTTTAACTGTCAACCCCAAACCTTGAGTACTCTCCCTTTCTACAGCATTTTTTTGCTTCATCAACTCATGTCCAAGTAACGCTGCAGTGACTTCCTCATTATTGATGGTTGTCTTTCCATGTGTCAATGTAATGACCAAATGCTCATAGGACGGTGGCAACGAAACAAGAAGAAGTAGTGCCTTATCCTCATCATCAATCTTCACATCCAGACGCGCTAGATCCGTGGCAAATTGATTAAAGGCGTTCACATGCTCCACAAGATCCGACCCCTCCTGCATCTTCAGCCCATAGAACTTTTGCTTCAAATACAGCTTATTGGTCGCTGACTTGGACATATAACGATTTGCCAACTTATCCCAAATTTCCTTAGGAGTATCTTCGTCCATGACATGATACATGACCTGATCCGCAAGACAAAGCCGTATGGTAGCGGCCGCCTGCACTTGCATATCCTCCCACACATCATTGTCAACCTTGGCCGGCTTCGTCTCCTGCAAACCCTTCAAGATTCCCTGCTGCGCCAGAATATCCTTGACTCTTGTCTGCCATAGACCGAAGTTACCCGTGCCATCGAATTTCTCCAAATCAAACTTGGCGAACCCCGGCGCCATGCCGAACCGCGATCTAACCGACCTGTTGCCGCCGGTCTGACCACCCTTGTTTTCCTCTGCGACTTCCTCACGAAAAAGATCACGGATCCCGTATTCCTCGTCTGAAGCCACGCTGCAGTCCGCGATCTACCAAGAACCCTGACTTGCACCGCACCCAATCTGCCCTTGAGAAAAACACCGTAGCTGCTCAAACTAGCTCTCGCTGAAAAACTAGCCCGCTCCAGCTTTTTTCTAAACCTGCAGATTGATTTTTTGTGTGCGCTTACCTTTTATTACCCGCTGAACACCGCCGGCCCTATCTTTTCCTCTTTGACAGGAAAAGCCGAGTCCAAAGCTGCCACGGTTTGCACAATCTCCAAATCAAGTCCAACGCTGGTCATGCACGGACCCAAACACGTACATATCTCCTGATTTTAATCATAACACCTTGTAGGCACACATCATCTTTCTTTTAAACTGGAACGCACATGCATGTATAGTATCCCCTGGACTCCTGCACGTAGTTGTTTCGATTTATTTCTTTCCTTGCGCCCATGCCATCCATCGAAGACCTGCTGCCGCACGTAACCGAACATCTCGCGTACGCAGCTTGCCGTGACTTTCCTTTTCTCTATCCGTGTACCTCTGGAAAAAATCCGCCGCTGTATCCGACGACAACTCGCCTTCCTGGTCCCTGTTTCTTGGTTCTCGCCGGCAATCTGTCCAGCCCTGTCGCACGTACGTGCCGCACGTCAACCCTGCCACAACAGTCGCCACCTCGCGTGCCATACCCTGGCCACCCGCGTCGCCGACACAATCCGTCCGCAGTGCCGCGCCGCCGCCCTTGTACAACACCGAGCGCATCGTCTCGATGCTCTCACACTCCGATCTATCCGGCCGTCCCCCACGTCTGGTCGCCGGTCTGATCGCAAGCCGAATCCGTCGCCTCCGCAACGTCTTCAACAGCCACTACGTCGGTCCGATCGCCACGTCTAGCCGATCCTTACCGACCGCAGCCCATCGAACGGTCCAGGCCTCCTGCCCGAAGTGTCCGACACCACCGACCGCCTCCGCGATCGCCGCCATGCTCCACCTCGCACCAATCGGACGTTCCTTGGCACCCGTCGGGCATGATCCTCGTACCTCCGGATGATCTTCCGCACAGCCTTCTCGCAACCTTGCTCTGATACCACTTGTTAGAATAAAACGCTAATGCAAGATCATAGACGACACACCGAGGCACAATATTTGTTAACGAGGTTCACCGATATGGCTACATCCCCGGGGCATGACTACGGGCGCTCCTCCCCAAGATACCGCAACACCGGCCGCCCGGGCGCCAGCACAAGCCGCCGGCTCCCCCGCGTACCTGTTGCTATCAAGTCGTCATGGGTTACAACGTGTGGTGCCCCTCCGTATATAAGAAGCCTAGGATACAAGTGTCCGACTCCTACACAACTCGTACCTAACCACACCAATTACAACTCCAAGTCCACGTAACCCCTTGCGTACATAGTATATTCGACACAAATATAACAAATAGGCTGATAAAACGCGTGTTGTTGGTGTATAAGAAGAAATAGGCGGATAGCATGTGTTGATTTATATGTACTTCAACATATATGTGCATGGATCAGAATAGTTGTCGTGTAGGCAGGCGCGCGCGTCCGGGTCGGGGATTCGGTCGAACAGGTGGCAGGCGTGCGTGCCTGAGGTCGCTGCGCACTGGTGCTCGATGTGTTGCTCGACCTGCTGCAGTGCACGTACATCGAGGTGGCTCGGCGGTGCAGCAGTGCCAGTGCGGCGGTGGCGGGAAATC